TCATCCAAAGGTTAAGCATTTTCCTTGTATTCAAATCTTTACATATTTATTATTTTAGATGGTTGCATAAGATGATCTTTTTTGCTGTACCTTTTCCTTGAAGGCCGGATAATTTAATCTAATTTAATTACGGCTCACAAGGACAACAATTATTTGACTAGTGTAAACAATTGAAGGAATTCTGTTTTCTCTTGATCTCAGTATGCGGAAAAGCTTTTTGTTCGCAAGCCTAAAGACAAGCAATATCCTAATTCTGTGGCACAGCAGATTTGGGAGGGTGTTCGTGCCAACGACAAGAAGGCTGTCTACCGCTGTATTGTCAATTGTGAAGCAGATATAAATGCAGTGTACGAACAATCTCCTGTGTCTTCACTGACCCTTGCCAAAGCCATGCTATTGCAAGAACATGAGAATGCCGATAACAACTCCGGTTACATGAGAGTGAATTCATCTGATAGCTTCTCTGTTAGCTCTTTCAACTTGGTGGGAACCAGTGAGGGCCAAGTTACGGACAATTTACACGGTTGCACCCTACTTCACCTTGCCTGTGAAGCTGCAGACATTGGCATGCTTGAACTTCTATTACAATATGGAGCAAATATAAATGCAACTGATTCAAGAGCTCAAACGCCACTTCACCGATGTATTCTCCGAGGCAAAGCGGCATTTGCTAAATTACTACTTACCAGGTGATCTTTACATCTTTGCTACATGATGGTTATATCTGCATTGTTCTCATGGCCGTTTACATGGTGCTTTAATATGGCTCGTATGTGTATACCGTATATGGAAACATTACGAAGATTTACCTGGTTTTATGTAGGGGAGCGGATCCATGTGCATTAAACAAGGAAGGGAAAACCCCTCTTGAGCTTGCAGTAGAATCCGATTTCCGTGACAGTGAGGTACTTGCTTTATTATGACATGTAAACGGGTAAGGAAAACCAAAATGGAAGTAAGAACCGAACCCGAAGTGTGGAGTTTGAAAATATATAGGGCCGGTTCTTCTCATTGAAATGGATGTCAGCAGTGTTTTTGGTTTGAGGGGCGATTTTAGAGGGGAGTGGAGAGTGTATGCTATATGTTGTGTTTATTAGTTTTATTCCTTTCCTGGTGAAGCTGTTGGGCTGGGGATTAGATTTTAGGGCAATTCTGTGTTTTAAAATATGTTTTTTTGAGATGCTTTCTTGTGTTTTTTTAATATTAATATATTTATAATCTAATGAGTGATCCTAGTGGTAGAAGAAAATGAGTGATCTTTACATCTTTGCTGCATGATGGTTATCACACTCACCTACTCATATCTAGGGATGGGTACGGGACTCGAACCTGACGGATTTTGATCCGATCGGTTCGGGTTAGATCGGGTTTTTCTAATATTATGTTTGGGTCAGTTTCGGGTCCTGTGCTCATCCCTAAATATGAGTAGGTGTATATTTTTTCGGGTTTGGATCCAAATTTTATCTAAAAAAAGCAAGTCTAATGGAAAGTGTATATTTTTTGAGTTTGATTCGGATCGGGGGAAGGATATATAATTTTTAAGTCAAATTAGGTGGATTGAAAATCCGGCCAGTGTACATCTCCACTCATGTCAGATTTCCCTGCTTGATAGGCCTTCAATTCATGAACTTGCTCCCGTGTTAACTCAGCTTTCAATGGACCAAAACGGACAATACTTCACAAGTTGACTTAAATCGAGGGAATTTTAATTTGGATAGACTATTTGACGTGACAAACTGCGGGACGCTTACGTTATCGTTTATCCCAATATGTAAGATACCATTAAATCGAAGTAGCCAAACACTTGGACCGACAATTTGTTAAAAATTGGATATTGATTATCTGATGTGATAATTGTGGGACAAATGTGCATTATTACTTTTTCTTTCTTTCTAGAGGTAAAGAAAACAAATGTCTTTTTTGAAGGAAAGATCATGTCTATAACACGTGTTTTGAAGCAAAAAAAAAATGTTTGATTAGTTTATGATGGAGTTGATTGATTGTAATGAAAATGTTTTAGTAGAAATTGGTCTACAAGACACGTGGTTTTGACACAAATGTCTGGTATCTAGTGGATGACGTGTGTGTGTGTTTCTTTATATTTAACCATAAGGTTAAATTACATAAAAATTATTGAATTTTAATTTATTTCACTGTAATTATTATCATTAGTTAGTCTAAGGAATAAGACACTAAATTGATATGTCAATCAACAATCAATTAGTCTAAGGAATAAGACACTAATTGATTGGAAATTGTTGCATAGTTTATTTGCTCCATGTTATCTTTGTTTGACACCAAATAAACTTTGAAATTTGATTGGAAATTGTTGCATAACTAAGCAATCTCCTCCCCCCATATGTGCAGTATGGGTAACTTTGTTTTCCATACGTTAAAGACCCTTTTGAGTGTTGATTTTGGAGCTCGAAAATGCAGAATGACTCGAATAATCCGGGGGCAAGTGGACCAGCCACATCCGACAGCAACAATCTACCAATACCAAAGCAATCATCTGGTTCAACTTTTGGTAAACACAACGACTCTAGCAGTTCCAATGATCTTAACTTCACCGAACAGCCTTTAATTGTGAGGCCGGTTGACCAAGGAAAGCCAACAACAGCAGTTAACGAGGCTGCTGATCGCGAGTTGCTGGCGCAAAACAGAGGCAATGCCATGCAACGTTACAAGGAGAAGAAGAAAACAAGAAGGTATAAACTTATACACTCACATTACAATTAACATTTAAGTATAGGTTAATTGCACTCGAAATTTTAAAATGGTCTCAAATTTCAAAACGACCTTGTTAAACCTTTAAAGCAGACGATGAGACGATGTCGATAGGTGTATGTGTTTATAATTTGATCCCTATATGTTTTTAAAATGTTGCAGGCCGACTGTTAAACTGATGGAATGAATTGATCGATACCATACCGATATTTTTGGGGACTCAATCAGAACGTTTTGAAGTGCAGGTATCGATTTATAATCCGGCCGATAGTTTGGAGACATTTGATGGAATCAACCTTTATGTGTAAGATTCTTAATGAAGTGTCGTCGTGTTGTTAATTCTGGTCCATTTAATCCGTGCTTGAAATCGAGGAAGTCGAGAGCGGATACAAGGAAGCGAGTGATTAGTCATTGACTATAGATATTTAAATCTTGGTGTTTGTGTATGAATCAAACTGGGTTGGGTGCATAGCCCCTATAATAGGCCTTTACAAAACTCGATCTGGATTAGTCGGTTAATAGTTTGGATACCAATGATTAGTTCAAAATTTTGAAGTGAATTAAATTTAGATGGTTCATATAGGTTTATTGAGTTTTTAAAATATGATAAAAGTATACAAATGGTAATTGACTATAGAATATTGTTTTATTAAGTTAATCGACTATTAAAAGTTACAAAATGGTCATTCGATTATTCATTATGTTCCAAACTCGTCATTTTTTGTTAAAAAATGGCGGTTGTCTAAACTGGCCGTTAACACGATGATTGAGATATGATAGTCGTTTGAGATTCTATGATCAGATTTTATCATATCATAGTCAATAGGTTAATGTTCAGCTTACCATATCGTCAATTTTTTAATAGAAAAAGACGAGTTTGGATCATAATGAACAATCAAGTTATCGTTTTTGTAACTTTTAATAGTCAAATGACTCAACAAAACAACACTATATAATCGAATGATCATTTTACAATTTTTAATAGTCGATGAACTTCATAAAGCAGTAGTACCCTTTAGTTGGGGACCACTTGTGTATTTAATCCTTAAATATAATTGAGTTTGATTGAAATATAATTAAAATTCGGTTTGACTCAAATAATTTTATATATATATATATATATATATATATATATATATATATATATATATATATATATCAATTTATGAATTGAGTTTGATTTAATATAATTAAATAGTTATAGAAAATCAAACCGAAAACAAAATTGAACACTATGGTTGGACTTGGTATTCTGAAGTTGTTTGTTCAACTATTATATTGACATAAATGGTCATCAACTTTAGGATATTGTTTTATCACGCCCATCGACTATTTAAAGTTACAAAACAGTCACCCAACCATTCATTATGTTTAAACCCGTCCTTCTTTGTTAACAAAATGACGACATTCTAAGTTGAACGTTAACATGATGACTGTGATATAATAACATATGATTCCAGAATCTCAAACGACTATCATATATCTATCATCATGTTAATGTTTGGCTTAGACAACTGCCATTTTTTAATAAAAAATGACGAGTTTGGAACACATGATAGTCGGGTAACCATTTTGTAACTTTTAATAGTCGAGAGACTTAACAAAGCAACATTCTATAGTCAGGGGACCATTTGTGTACTTTACCCTATAATTGATTTGAGAAAATCCATTTTCAAAAGCAGCTATTTCGAGTTTATTAATATAAATAGGGTAACTTACAAATTTGGTAATTGATCTTTACTCTCTCTCCTATTTCACTCATTATACTCTAAATCTTTTCAATTTCCTCACTGAACTTAATACATTGGATTTTTTGTCACTCGGCCGTTAAATAGTTAACAACGTTAAAATGGACTGTTATATATATGCAAAACGACGTTGTTCTGGTGAAATTTTTTTTAAACGACGTCGTTTTTAACGTCGTTAACTATTTAACAGAGGAGTGACCAAATTAGGAGAGAGATTAAAATTCAATGACCATAAAAACAAAATGTATTAAATGCAGTGAGGAAATTGAAAACTTTTAAAGTTCAATGAGCAAAATAGGAGAGAGTAAAGTTCATTGATGAAATTTGTAATTTACCCATATAAATATTAAAAGATATTATTTATATTTACCAAATTTGTGATTTGTGGTATAAATCAGTATGGTCAAATATGTTGAATATTCAACCATGGGGGGGACACGATAGAAACGACGAATTCAAATCCTTGGACTGATCGACATTAATAAATCAGAACAGGTAAAGTCGATGAATAACTGCAATATTTCCTCCATATGATTGTTGTCGGAGTCAACCTAATCTCCATCTTCAACTAGGTTACAATTTGTTATTAGGGTTATTATGGCTTCCCAGATTCTAGTTTGCCTCCTCTTTGTTGCAGCCATGAGTGTTGCTGTACACTGCAATTCTGAAGGTATAAATATACATATTATATGATTTATTACAATTAATGGTGATTATGTTGTCTTAATCCCTGTAATAATTATTACAGGTGATGCTCTTAATGCCTGGAGAGCCCAACTGATGGATCCGAACAACGTTCTTCATAGCTGGGATCCCACACTTGTTAACCCATGCACCTGGTTTCACGTTGCCTGCAACTCTGAAAACTCCGTCATTAGAGTGTAAGTGCATGTATGTATGTACGTACGTACGTACGTACGTATGTATGTATGTATGTATGTATGTATGTATGTACGTATGTATGTATATATATATGTGTGTATATATGTGTGTAATGTGTATGCATGTATGTATATGTATGTACTAAAATGGGGTTTCGATTGTTGAAGGCACCTCGGTAATGCAAATTTATCAGGGCCTCTTGTTCCTGAACTTGGACAACTTGCGAATCTTCAATATTTGTAAGTCCAGTATTTTAAAATTGGGTTTATTTAAGTAAAAATAAAAAGTTAGGGGGTTTATTTTGGTACACTAAAAGTTCAGTGACTAATTTAGTAGAAGTAAAATAGTACAAGGGTGGTTGTAGTATTTTAACCAAATGTTCCGATTGGCAGGGAGGTATCTGATAATAATCTCAGCGGCAGCATTCCAACCGAGATTGGTAACTTAACGAGCCTTGTGAGCTTAAATTTGCAGCATAATCAACTTACCGGCCCTATTCCTTCATCTCTTGGAAACCTAGTTTCTTTGTCATTCTTGTAAGTTCATATATGCTAGAGTATATTACACGTTTAGTACTTAAAATATTAGTTTTTGTCTATTTTAATATTTAAACTTTTAATTTTTTTAAAATCATACTTAAAATTAGGTTTTTGTTTCATTTTAGTACATGTTCAAAATTTAACATTATGTTTTGAAAAAAAATTAAAAGTTTAGATACTAACGAACCAAAATTGATAGTTTACGTACCGAACGCGTTAAATTTTTAACATTGAATACTAAAATGAAACAAGAACTAAACATTAAGTACTAAATGTGTAGTTTACCCTGGTATTAATTGTGTATATTAATGACAGGAAGTTGAATGGCAATAAACTCAGTGGCGTAATTCCACCATATTTGTTCCTACTCATTCAAAGAGGCAACTTGATCGTTATGTGAGTTTGCATTTTGCACATCTTTTACTAATTTATTTTCTCTTTATATTTTCGTTTTAGCTCATCGTCCTTATCGTATTTTTACATCAATTTTACCCTTAAAATTATTTAATTGCATCATTATACCCTACCCCTAACTTAAAACCTTAGATTGCAAACTCTAAGTTAAAGTTTATGGTTTAAGGCTTATGGTTAAGAGGTTATGTAGTTATGATTTAGGGTTTAGGATTTATAATTTAGGATTTTAACTTGAGGATAATGTATATAATGATGCAATTGTGTAACTTAAAGAGTTAAATTGGTATGAAAATACGATAAGGAAAAATGTGATAAATTGAGTCAACTATAAGGGCGAAAGTTACCCTCTTACCTTTCGTTTTTTTATACTCCGGAATTTATGAAAAAATTGAAATCTCTAATTGATTTTGGCCTTACAAGAGAGTGATTGTGTATCAGGAATGTATCAGACAATATGTTTGCAGGAACCGTTCACCGAACAAATCTTACCGGTAAGGGTAAACTCGGTGTTACATGCCATGTAACGGTGTTATCAAGTGAAATTTTAATTTTAATTTTTATTAATTTAATTTTCTAATTTAAAATTTGATTGGTTTAATTTATCAATTTAATAAATCCCCTTTGTTTGTTGTATAATTTGCAGTAACAACAATAATCCAAGATCCCAGAGCCTCGTAGAGTTTCAAGTAATACAAACTTATGATATGAACCTTCTTCATGTTGCTGTTTTTTTTATCTTATATGATTCAATTGTACTTTTCCCTTATAAATAAATGGAACAATTGCAGTTTTGGCCCTTTTTTAAATAGCTAATTCAATTTAAGCCATTTTAAATTTTAGTACAAACTCTTTAGCTTTTCCCTTGCAAATTCTTTTGATTTTATTTTAGCCTCCAATACTTGCTTCATGACTTCACCCCAGATCATATGATGATTTTTTTTAATCTCGTTCGTAAAGTTTATTTAAATAAATATGGGTAAGAATCTCAATCTGAGGTTATTATAAATTCTATATTTAATATGTGGTGGAATAGACCCAAAGTTGAATTAGAGGATATGTTCTCATGATTTGGGACTAATTTTGTTTTCTTCTTGGCAAAAAGGCATATACACGTACTTTTGGAAAAAAAAACTAATGTGGTCTTTCAACTCGGATAAACTCAATGTGATCGTTTGATCAATGTTTTTTTTTCGTTGATCGTTACAATACTGGTGTGTCAATTTACGGTGTTGACGTAGTGTTCTACGGTGCTAACATAACAGTTCATCTGTCATGTTTGAGTTATCAATTTAGTCCATCTGCCATGTCATCTGTCACCATGGGTTATCATGTAAGCATCGTAGATTGTCACGTCAGCTTCATGAACCGTCACATCAACATTATAATAGTCAACGACGAAAAAATATTGGTCAAAGAGGTCCACTAAATATATTTTATGAATTGAAGGATCACACTAAAAAAATAATACGAAAGGATATTAGATTTTTTCAAAAGTACATGAAGCTATGATGTTTTTCCCCTTTTGTTTGAAAGCTTTGTTAAATATTCTTTGTGGATCTTGAAAAAGCAAAGAGGTTTAGTGCATGCTAGCTTATAGTGTTAGAATACTCGACGGCATCTTCTTTGTCTTGCATCTTTATATTCTGTTCTTTATTTGCCTCTTTCAAAATCTGAATTGACATGTTAAAAATGTACAATTTGAAACTATGTATGGGAAGCTTTAAGACAAGGGTTCAATTTGAAGGAGGGAAAATAAAGGTGTGTGGGGAACCTTGTTGGTCCATTTACATTTCCAAATTGCACTATCAAAGGATCCATCCCTTTTGACCCCATGCTCTTTGCTTGCTTTATGCAATCTCATTATGTCCATCTTTGCCCTATTTTACTTCATTTTGTTTCTTAGGGTAAAATACACAAAGGATATTGTTTTATTAATTACTTCGACTATTAAAAGTTATAAAATCGTTCCCTAACTATAGAATGCTACTTCGTTAAGTCCCTCGACTATTAAAAGTTACAAAATGGTCACCTGACTATTCATTATGTTCCAAACTCGTCATTTTCCGTTAAAAATTAACGGTTGTTTAAGCTGGACGTTAACATGATGATTGAGATATGATAGTCGTTTGAGATTCTAGGATCATATTTTATCATATCACAGTCAACAAAGTAACGTTTAGCTCAGAATATTGCCCACTTTTTAACGAAAAAAGACGAGTTTGGAACATAATGAATAGTTGAGTGACCATTTTGCAACTTTTAATAGTCGATGGACTCAACAAAGCAACACTCTATTGTTAGAGGACAATTTTATAACAAAGCAACACCTTATAATCGGGAGATCATTTGTGTATTTTACCCCTTTTATATTGTCTCAAAAATCATTTCCGATAAGTAAATTATATTAGGATATATTTAAGACGAAAATTTCAATCCCAAATATGAACCGTAAAACAAATATGAAAGATTCCAAAAACGAAGGAGTAAATCTCAAATTTTTACATGGCAGAGGGGCTAAAACCAAATTAGACCGACAAATAATAATAAAGGTCAATGGTCAAAAATTGACCGCCAAAAGTATCAAAAAGAACAAAAAATTTATGGGGGTGGTAGTGATTACACTATCAATGGTCCGTGTGGAAAGCCTTTTCATTCTCCTTTTGTAGAAGAAGAAAAATGAAGGACATAGCCTTTTGCAGTTTGGTCCCTCCTTTTTCCAAATCTATGATCGAAGGAAGAACAAAAGATGCAATGCAAATATAAGGTGCTTTAATGTTGGCCTTGTGAAGTCACTTCTTTTAATAATAAAGTTGCCATCATATCTTATCTAATCTTTCACTTAACCCAAGATTTGAAAAGGTGTTTTATGTGTCCATATTATTTTGATTTCCCATATTTCAAATTATTATTATAATAATATAATATTTTCAATTATTTAACATTAAATGTTTTACCTTGATACTTAAATTTGTGACCTCGAATAATAACAATAATTTTTTTTACTACTGAAGTCACTCAATTCGTGCGTTTTACATCTCTTAAACATATAAGAGACACATATCTATAAATTAAAAAAATGATATGTAAATATAATAAAATATTCATATATAACAATATAAAATTACATTAACTCAAAATTTTCATAATATATTATATATTAAAGACAAAAAGGAATCACATCTGTTGTACTTTTTAATAAAATCAATGTAGTTTTGGTATTATTTTTTTCTCACGCGGTCCTACAACTTAAAAAATAAATCTAATGTGACCCTTTGATCAATGTTTTTTGTTCGTTGATTGTTACATGATGATATAACAGTCTGTCTGCCATGTTTCAATTACCAATATAATTCATCTGTTATATCATTAATCAGCATAGACTGTCACATCAATATTATGAACCGACACGTTAATACCGTAACGATTAACGATAAAAAAATTAGTTAAAATGTCACATTAGACTTATTTTTTAAGTTGAAGGGTCAAATTAAAAGAAAAAATAATACTAGAATCACATTATTATTTTTAAATTACAGGAACCTCGACGCTTTTTTGCCTAAATTAAATCAATGTTTATATAAAAATGTAGACTTCAACCTCTCCATAATCATAAATACGAAGCTGTAAACACAAGGAGAAGCAATTGCAAAGTGAAACCCCAGTGAAAGTGAAGTCAAAACATTACAAGGAATGGAGCCCTAAAGGCCAAAGCCATTTCAGCATCATCAAACACATCAAAAGACGAGTTTCCATTCACATGCTATTCATTATTTTTTGTCCCTTATTCGTTATTATTAATATATTAATTACCAATATTATATTTATAAACAATAATTAATTTAATCTCAATAATAACCCGTAAAAAATAAAATTGCACATTCTATATTGTTATAAAAATTAAATTCAATTAGTTGGGCACCGACAAAAACGACAATAAAAGAATTGGACCAGAGCAAGAAATTGGGAGTCGGTGATGATATTTGGTACAATGTTGTAATTTTACCAACCATTCTGACACAACATTCAAGGACACTGATGTTTCAATTTCAATGTCACAATTGCATTATGGCTGTCCTTTGTGCATGCCACTGAAGGTCATAGTTTGGAGATTGAATAGAAAATTTTTAAATTTAAAGATTGTTTTAGAATAAATATTATAAATTAGGGACCTCCTACGCAATTATCTCTTAACTGTTTAACTAAAACGTTTGGCTCTCGGCCTCTCAATAAACGAATCTATTTAAGGACTAAAATAATAAATGATGGACCCGTAACTAATTACTTTATTATATTATTTTAATCATGTCAAAAGAATAATATTGTTTTTAAAAATAATATATATTAGTTAAAGTTTTCTCAACTTTATACTAGCGAATATTTTGGCATAGGGACCGAGTTAGAAAAAAAATTGGTCGTCGAATTTAGAAATTATATAAAAAAAATTAAAGAGAGAAAATTGAATTTTAAAATTTTTATTGTTATATATTTTTAAAATATTTTTAAAATATTTTTAAAAGAGATGTTATTTTTTATATTATATATATATATAATTTATATGAATAAAAATGAAAATTTTAAAACTTTTGAGATGTGAATTGACAACCCTTAATACATATCAGGTCCGCCAGTATTTTGGCATAAATAATTCAATTAAAAGAATATGAAGCACAACATGCAGCAAAAATAACATATTTTATTGGAGAGTCAATGAGTTTTTTTTCGTTAGTAGCTTTATTTTATAGGGTAAAATACATAAATGGTCCCCGACTATAAGATATTATTTTATTAAGTCACTTAATTATTAAAAGTTATAAAATAGTATTTCGATTACAGAGTGTTGCTTTGTTAAGTCTCTCAACTACTAAAAGTTATAAAATAGTCACCTGACTATTTATTATGTTCCAAAACCAGCCTTTTCTATTAAAAATATACAATATTCTGACCTAAACAATAACATGTTGATTGTGATATGATAAACTTTGATCCGAGAATCTCAAACGATTATCATATCTTAGTTATCATGTTAACGTCCAATTTAAACAACTGACATTTTTTTAAACAAAAAATGATGAGTTTGGAACATAATAAATAGTCGAATGATTGTTTTGTAACTTTTAATAGTTGAAGTATTTAATAAAGTGATATTATACAGTCGAGAGATCATTTGTGTACTTTACCTATTTTATATATATTATTGACTAAAGAATTAAAAGTGGCTCCAACAGAGTTCAAAAGATTTGCCTATGCTCTTTGGTCTTTCCCTCACTCCATTACTTTCATTGCATGCAGTCCGATATATAAAAATATTGACTCCAATTTTAATTATTTTTTATTCAACAGAGTAAAAAATATTTAATATTTAATTATATTTAATTTATTTAGCAGAGAATGTAATTTTCGGATAATCGAGTTATAGGTTTTATTAATTATTGTAATAATCAAAGATAACCTAAGCTACTAAATCATGTTGGTAACAAGAAAAAAAACAAATAAAATTAATAGTGACATTTGGTACAATGTTGTAATTTTACCAAACATTCTGACACAACATTCAAAGATACTGAGATTTCAATGTCACAATTGCATTATTGTTGTTCTTTGTGCATGTCAATTTTTACATTGAAAAATTAAAAGAATTTTCTCTCTCTATATATATTTGTTACAATCAATTAATTATATGACCTGCTTGAAATTTTTGAAATTCAGTGACCCATTTATAATCCTATTATAAGTAAGAGACATGTGATGTATTTTACCTTTTTATTATTTGAATATGCACAAGACAATAAAGATAATTTTCAATTTTCTAACATTAAACGCTCACACTAAGGTTCTCCATTATCCATACCAGTCTGGTTTTTGGCTCCGACAGAGTTCAAAAGATTTGCCCCTGCTATATTTGTCTTTTCCCCACTCTTGCATGCAAGCTAATATATAAAATTCTGAATATATATATATATATTAAATAATCTTATAATATTTTCTAATTATAATAATATACCCTACAAATATAATTATATAATTATTTAAATTTAAGATCTCAGAAGATAATAAAATTCTCTTTGATAATTTGAAATACATTTAAATATATATTACTTATATCTCTCCATCATATGATCTTAGAATTTGTTCTCTTTAAAAAATTTGAATTCGAGTACTTGCACTTGTATAGTGTATATACATTGTAAATGGTTAAAAAAGATTATGAACAAATATTACCGATAATTACTCTAATTTTTCAATGTTCATAAAATAAATGGATAAATTCATAATTAGACCCTAGAAAGTGAAGGAATATAAACTTGAACCCCGTAGAAACACCTTGTAGCCAAGCCAAGCTGTGAATCGGGGAGTGTGTATTGCACTGTAGAAGATGCTCCCCGCCCCCACGTGAAACAGCCCCCCACTCCATTCATTAAACCCAACCATCCTTTTGAAGGGCTCTATAAATTCTTCCATCGCACCGAAGCCTCTTGTTTCCATATGCTTCCCTTTGCCTCTTCACAATAACCAAAATATTTATATATAAAAACACCATTAGAGTGTTGTTCAAACCAGTGATAATTATGACGATGGCCAGTCTACTGCTGCTTCAAGTTCTTGCAGTAACTCTGTTAAACACATTGGCAAATGCGAATGTAGAAGGTGATGCTTTGTTTGCTTTCAGGAGAGCTGTTAGAGACCCCAAGAAGGTCCTGCAGAGCTGGGATCCCACCTTGGTCGATCCTTGCACTTGGTTCCATGTCACCTGCGATGCCGATAATCGAGTTACTCGTCTGTAAGTTACTCGATCTCATTTGCGAGTGTAAATACGAATATGTAATAACAGTTAATTTACTTCATGTTGAACATTTGCAGAGATCTTGGAAATGCAAAGCTGCGGGGCCGTTTAGTGCCCGACTTGGGAAAGCTTGAGCGCCTTCAATATCTGTAAGCAAATAATTATTTTAGGTCAAATTATATAAAAGGTCCCTGTGCAATGTATTTATATTACTAAAAAGAATCAAATTATGATATAGGGACTAAATTCGTTAGGGACACATAGTACATGGACCCTCTTATGAGATTTGACCTTTTGATGATTATTAAACAAAAGGCATGGATTTTCTTGTCTTGTATGCAGAGAGCTATACATGAACAATATGGTGGGTTCAATACCGGAGGAAATTGGAGAATTGAAAAGCTTAGTGAGTTTGGATCTTTACCATAATAACCTTACAGGCTCCATCCCTGCGCCCCTTTCCAAGCTTTCAAATCTCAAGTTCATGTATGTAATTGACTAAGATTTTCCCTCTTGATTTTACTTTTTTTTAGGACATCAGTTAAAATCGGAACGATACGGTCGTCGTTAATGCTTGTACTGATCTACTGTTCATTCCTTGCAGGAGACTGAACAGTAATCTACTGATCGGAAGGATTCCGAGACAACTTACACAACTCCAAAATTTAAAGATCTTGTGAGTCACATGTAAAAGCTTTGTTTAAAACACTACCGGTCCGGTAGAGATTTCGATTTTATTATTGTTGTTGTCCTTGTTTAATACGGTTGTGTCGTGTGAAGCAGCGATGTATCGAACAACGATTTGTGCGGCACGATCCCGACGACGGGTGCCTTCTCTAAGTTTAAGGAGGAAAGGTACACGAGTGACTTACAATTTTGCTAATCAGATTGTTGTTGCATAAATGGTGGATTAATGTTTGATTATTATTATGATTATGTTGCAGTTTTAGGAATAACTCAAGGCTTGAAGGGCCTGAGCTGATGGGGTTTGTGAGATATGATACAGGAGGGTGCAAATGAAAACATTATAAGTTATATAACCAAATTTCCACATATATTCTCTTCATATATGGGAAATGCTCTGTGTTGTAACACAAAAGATGTCATCTTTGGAGGCCAATTGCATCTCTTTTTGGGACATTCTGTTTGCAGCGCGAACTATATCTTCAACCTGCACAATTCATGTATAAATTAACAAACTTTATCTATAGACTTCGTGTACGTGTGTGTATATATATCATAATGGTAATTGTAGAAAGAACATGGAGAAGTGGAACCTCCTGTGGCACTGCCATTCTCTTGAGATTTGCCGCATGTGGCATAGGAACATCAGCTCCGGCGATTCTCTCAACCGGCACATCAAGATATACAAAGCTCTCCTCCACAACACTTGTACCGTGAACAAAGTATACTGCATAAATATATACAAGGTCCCATGTATATATATATATATATATATATTTATACACGTTAAGCAGAAATTTAAATGATTTTAAGAGAACTCGAACCATATTTCAGCACCAACACCATGCTGTGGAAACGCTTCTTCAACTGTGACCAATCTGTTGGTTTTCCTGACTGATTCATTAATTGTGGATCGATCTAGCGGCCTAATCGAACGCATATTTATGACCTGCATTTAACAAAGATCAGATATTGCACTTCTCAGTAGAACGGTCAAATCAAATTGAGCCTTGTAAGGGCTTGCGCTACTTTGAGTTGTAATTTTTACCTCAGCATCGATCCCATCCTTTTCAAGTATCTCAGCTGCCTGAACAACAAACAATCTCTTAAATGTATCTCGGATGATAACTAGGCATCTGCGTATCCAAACAGATATTGCATACAAGACATTCCTTAAGAGAATAGCCCACCATTTTCGAATAAGCATCAATAGTCACATGCTTTCCTTTTCTCTCTATCTGTTAAAGTAGTGGTTAAAAACTATATGTATATGTATTAAACTGCAGCTTCATGAGATCGGAGTTACAGCAGAACCGACGGAAGCAGAAACATGGAAATAATAATGCTAACAGCCTAGTGAGTAAAATTTCAGGTGCTCTATAGCATTTACCTTAGCTTTACCAATTGAAAGGCAAAAGTTTGAGTCCAGAACTTCATTGGAAATCTGGAACGATTCACCATATCTGAAGCAGAACGATTATATCGAGTAGCATCAGGCATTAAAATTCTAGTCGACGGCGGACCAGTGGAGTGGGAGTCGATACATAAAGAGTCGTAGTTTACTATATCACTTACAACAACTCATTCTCAAGGAAAACAACTGGGTCGGGATCTCTAATAGCAGCTGTGAGCAGTCCACGAGCATCTTCGGCATTGTATGGTGTCGGCACTTTCAACCCAGGGCAAGTAGCATACCATGCAGCATAACACTGAAAAGTAACCAAGACAAAACAATCAAACGAGCTTCTTACTTATTGAAAATAAGCTAGATTTCTAAAATATGGAAGCAAGTAAACAATAATTAGTACAACGTAACTTGATTTTTAACCTCGGAAAGCTCTGGGGAACCAGAGGAAGTAGACGAATGTAAACAAACCAAATAATGGGTGCAACTAACAGTATTAAGAAACCAAACCTGAGAGTGTTGGGCACCAACACCAGCTGCAGCACCATTGGGACCTCTCAAAACTATGGGTACAGAAATCTGGCCAGCAGACATGTGGTTTGACTTTGCAGCAGAGTTGATAATGTGGTCAATTGCCTGTAGTAAAAGAAAATGGGATCGAAAACAATGTATCAGACAAAAATTTCAGATAAAAAACAATGTGCAACTCCAAGGAGAAAATACAATGCAGGAACATTCATAGGATTCAGCATACATAAATCACATCCAAATCTTCTCTTTTGAACATTCCAATTCTAGTATCTTATCATGAAAGTAAAGGTTAAACATATAAACCACCTACGTTCCTTCAGTACACTAAGATTCAAGGAAAAACATTACTTCATTCATTTGAACTAGTTAAGTTCATTGTCTAACACAAAGCATGTACATATGATCTCCTTTTTCACAACATGTATATGGTAGCACAAAATAGTAATAAAAGTGTACATAAGCAGAGATTCGAGTTGGAACTCTCGGACCTGCAAGGAGAAGTTAAATGTCATAAACTCCACAACAGGCTTCAGAACGTAGTAGGCCGCACCAACTGCAATCCCAGTAAAACCAGCCTATGAAACCAGATATAAAAGACAGATTATGCAAGGCAGCACAAAAGTAACCTCAGTAATTGGAGTATCAAGAACCCTCTCGGGTCCATACTTGTCCAGAAGCCCCTTGGTTATCTAAAGAGGTGGAAACAAAAGCCATCTTCAGATGAAATCAGTATTTTCGCAGAGGTTGCATGCAGCGGCTAGGAGAGCTATTGGGAGATTCTTCCTATATGAAGACATAAGCTTTTATGCATTTTGGGACAATTCATACTACCAGCCTATGTTTATGCTGCAGCAGTTTGTGGTGCGGGCTTCAAAGGCCCCTCATCATAATACCAAGCAGAATGAATGTCATGTAATTTTTGGATTTGCAAGAGAAGCCCCTCGATCTTCTCATCCCGCCGATATTGTCACCGTTGGAATGATATTGTTGTTCTATGTTATCATGAAAGATCCTTAGATCTTTGTAAAACTAAAATAACTAGTATGAATGAATAAATAAATAAATTAACTCGTCGTTAAAAATTTCCACGTGACATTTTTTATGGGTAAACTATATCATTTATCACTTAATTATCTTCTCGCTCCTGTTTTAGTCATTAAGTTTTAAACATTTTTAATTTAACCACTCAACTTTCAAATTGCTCATGTTTTAATCACTCTAATTTATTTTATTAATAATATTTTACGGCATGATTTTTTATTATTTTATTAATATAGAATTAAAATAAAAAATAAATTTAAAAGTTGGAGTGATTAGATTAGGAGTAATTTGAAAGTTAAGTAATTAAATTAAAAATATTAAGTTTCAATGACCAAAATAGGAGTGAGAATGTAGTTGAATGATATAATTTACCCATAAAAAAATATCAAGCCGCAACAAATTCGCTAAGTTTTAATGATGGGTAGTAAAATGAAACAAAAATTAAACGTTTGATAAAATTTTGAAAAAAAATAAAAATTTAAATACTAAAACAAGACTGAAATTGATAGTTAAAGTATTAATACGTAATTTATCTAATATTATATTATTTACGAATCGATCATAAAATTCAAAATTAAAATCGAAAAAGGACTCATTCGTCATATAAAACAAAAATGAGGCAGCATAAGATAAATTTTCCATAATTTCAACCCTTCATTTCCGTCTCTAGTATCCTCTGTTCTCTTTCAACCCACTCTTATCCACCAGTTGAGCTCCAGATATTTCCCATGGCGGCTTCTTTCGTGACCCTGGTATTTCCCACTTTGTCTTATCTTATTATGGCTTGATTGTTTCCCCTTTTTTCATTATCTTATCAAAACTCTTTCTTCCTTTGCAGTCAAATGTAGGTTTGCTTTCAGGTCCAAAAACCCTATCAAAGAATCAAACGCCATCGCCAACGTGCAATGCCCTTAAGCTTCCTCGAAAGCTCTCGGTTTCGTCTTCATCTTCATCGCGCTTCTTCTCTGGGTCATTTCGTCTTCCCTCTCTGAATTCAACCCAGACTAATCCCCGTCTTCTCCGCCATATTCGGGCCAGTGCTGAGGTCAGAGGTTTTGGGTTTCCCTTATTGTTTACTAGTAATCCCATACGAATTGTAAATTTTGAAATCGTGGTAATAAAGTATTGATTTTTTTTATATGAGATTGTAGGTGGAACCTGTACAATCAAAAATAACAAACAAGGTGTATTTCGATGTAAGTATTGGAAACCCAGTGGGTAAACTAGCTGGAAAAATTGTGATTGGATTGTACGGTGACGATGTGCCCCAGACTGCTGAGATTTCCGTGCTCTTTGCACAGGTTTTGTATATTGTTTCCCCCTCTAATTGACTTGATTTTGAGAACATTGTTGTAATTTTGGTGTTAGCGAAGCTTTTGAATTGGTAGCAGTATGTTCATTTTCGATTATCATCTGTTCTTGTAGGGGAGAAGGGTTTTGGTTATAAAGGCTCCGCTTTCCATCGTGTCATTAAAGATTTCATGATTCAAGGAGGGGATTTTGATAAAGGAAATGTGGGTATTCATACTCATTTACCTTTTTATGCTTCATAATGCGATTGAGCATGCTTTTGCGCTGTTAGTTCAATGTAAAGGCTTACAACTCGTATTCATAGTATTTAGTGGCATAAGAGCCAAATATGCTGCAATGAATTCAGAAAGATTAATTTTTCTAAAATCTGGCCTTTACGATCATACTGAAAGTTGTTAGTAAAAATGAAATTTGTTTGCCTTGTTACTTAGTCTGGCAAGCATAATCTCCATGTTTCATGTAGATAAAGTATGCCACACTTACTCTCTTTTCTGATGTTGCAAAAAGCTACATCTCTGGTTATCAATTGGGATATCTGTGGTGCTCTTGGTATATTTTCGGGATTTATATATGGATAAATGTGGGGGTCTTAATTATATCTGGAGACTTGTTCACCTTAATGTCCATTCCAAATCCACAATGGTGAACTTAGGGGCCCGTCTGTAATGTTGGCCTTAATGATTTTAGTTTTTTCTTTGTCCGTTCTTGGAGTCTCGCATGGAATATGCTTCTGTTAATTTATTTTCATCTTTATTTTATATTGAATATTTGCAATTTCATCGGCTGATTCTTTAAAAAGTACTATTGGCATCTTCCAAGTAGATCCGGAATGTAGGCATTTATCCTATTTCTAATGCCCAATAAAGCAATGACTTTTTCATTTATCATTTATTTATTCAGGGAACTGGAGGCAAAAGTATATATGGACGTACCTTCAAAGATGAAAACTTCAAGTGTAAGTTGATTGTTATTATCACTATAGAAATTAAATCGGCATATCCATGTTTTTGCAAGATTGTGGCAGCAGAGGTCTGGAGGATTTGTTCTTTGGGATAATCTAACTTATCAAGTTACTATCTCTTTTATCCTCTTCCCTTCTTCAAAGATTTGGGCAGCATCTCGAGCCATCCACTATGCTGTTGATTAAACCTTAGTTTGTGGGGAACTAGTGGACAATGTTTCCAAATTTCCGTCTAATGTTTGCTGTTTAAACTGCCTTTGATGCACACTTCCTGCATATTTTCTGAAACATAAATTGTCTTGCAGTGACCCACGTTGGACCCGGTGTTGTTAGTATGGCAAATACTGGCCCAAACACCAATGGCAGCCAATTTTTCATTTGCACTGTCAAGGTATGTTGATTCCTGTTCAGTTAAAGATCGTTGCTACTAGCACACGAGTTTTAGTTTCGGGTTTAATGTTGTCATCATAGTTTTACACACACTGGCATTTGTTGTGATGGTTGATGGCTATGTTTTAGTTGACAAATTGCTAATAGAACATCATCTTGTTTATTATCATCTGTCGTTAAACCTCATCGCATATATTACATTATCACTAATAAAAAAATGCAGAATGCGCCTTACCACTAAGTCTGGAAAGTAAGATCATGCACGAAAACAAGCATAACATAGCCAAATCAGCAGCAATAAATCCATAAGATCAAAGTAACGAGCAAATACTACTGATTCTGAACACTCATCAAACTTCATCACAGATATACATTATACAAAAGAACTTATGTATCTATACTGCTCAATCCAAAACCATCTTGAGTACAGTAACGAGTTATCATGGTCGCATGTGTCTGATGCATGTTGGCTTTACGTCGATAATTTATCATCTCCTATTAGCAATAACCAGGAGCTATTTCCAATGCTTTCTTTTAGCCTTATGGTTTGATTACAATATTGTATAGCTGCTCATTAAATACATGTATTCATACTGTTGGAAAATCGCAGACACCATGGCTGGATCAAAGGCATGTCGTATTCGGGCAGGTTTTGGAAGGCATGGACGTTGTTAAGCTGATTGAATCACAAGAGACTGATAGAGGAGACCGTCCTAGAAAGAAGGTGGTTATCAGTGATTGCGGTGAGCTTCCGATGTCCGAAGTCTGATTCTAGCTGTTCATCCTTCGTCTTTTTTTTTTTCGATCTTCGGATTAGTTTACCCTATATAAAGGCTCTAGTTTAAATGAATGTTGAGTTTCTAGAGAAGGGTTTTATTTTCTTTATCTCATGTATGAATGAATTCAATGATGAACTCTCTACTCAAAAACATTTTGAAAATGACTGAGCTTCTTTATAATAAATTTCAAAAATATCTAAATTCATATTAATTGATTAATAGGTCGATTATCGATAATTATATTCAAAATGTAATATTATATCCAGAAGTTTCAAGTTCGAATACATATTTATAATGGGTGTTCATACTTTCATTAGTAAGTGTTAAGTCTTTTAAACATATACTACATTATATACTAATAAAAATATTATCATCAATTTAGACACACAATAATGTTATAAAAATTAAATATAATTGGTCTAATGGCATGAGACATTAGATTATTTAAACAATGTTGAGGTTCGACTTTTAATGTTTGTGAATGGAGTAAATTAGATTGAAAGGGAGATTTTTATCTCTGTAGTATTCGATTTGGTTTGGATTAATGAATTTGATATCGATAATTATAAAAGTAAAAAATTTAAATCTACGATTTTAACATAATAAATGGACTAAAAGCAATATCGTGGACTTGAGAAAGGTACGTGAATGACTAGTAGCCAATGTTGACTACTCAATGAGAAGCAATTAATTGACGTAAACTACTTCACTATAATGGAAGAAGGGTTGGGGAGAAACTATCACCAAACTTCCCACTAGAATTAATTTTGTTTATTTGAAAATATTAATTTTTCACACCCTTATTCAAAAATTATATTAATTTTCTAAATCAACTAATAATCGTTATATGGTTCACTTATTTTTGGTCTAATTCTGAATATCAACCTTTACTCTTCCTATCAATAATTTGAACTACCGCTTGGACTCCATCTCCATTATTCGATGACATTGTCTCCGAATTGCTTAACGTTCTTCAACTTTCATCTCCATTCCTCTGTTTTCTTCCTTTTACTCCGAATTTCCTTTTCCTTCTTTCTTCTAATCCCACCATGTCTTTCATCGGAGAGGCTGCTCTTTCTAAGCTTTTGGAGCTGTTGCTCGGCAAGTCCATCGATGCTGCTCTCAACTTTGTTGCTGATCACCACCAACTGTACGACCAGCTCAAGGAGTGGAAATCCATATTGCCCGATATCAAGGCAGTGCTGAACCACGCAGAGGAGAAGCAGATCCAGGACGAGGGTGTGAAGAGTTGCTTGAAGATCTCCAACACTTGGCGTACGATGCAGATGACATCTTGGACGAGTTTGTCTATGAACAGTTACGTCTCAAGCTCGACAAAACTCAGGCTCAGGCTCAGGCCAGCACTAGTATGGTACGGAAACTCCTTCCTACCTGCTGTACCGGTACCAATTTCACTCCGTCGTCATTTCAATTTAAAAAAAGCTATGATTCCCAAGATGAAAGACATCACCGCTAGACTCAACATTCTGTTTACACGAAGTAGTTTGGGGTTGAGTGAAATATGGCCTCAAGCTGCAACCTCCGATCGAAAGAAACCGGCCAGGCTGCAACCTACTTCCGTGGTGGATGGAGCTGTTGAGTACGTTGGTAGAGACAACGAGAAACGAGAAATGCTTGATTTGCTAAAAACTAATAAAACCGATGGAGTTTGTGTCCTTTCCATTGTTGGCATGGGAGGGATGGGAAACAACTCTTGCTCAGTTTGTCTACAATGATGACAGCATCGAGAAGTCTTTTGATCACAGGGCCTGGGTATATGTTTCCGATGACTTGATGCTGTTAAAATAACCAAGACTATTTTAAAAATCAATCGATCCTTCCTCACCTGATGAGAATGACTTGAATCAATCGATCACAGGGCCAAAGTGCATTCACAACTTCACCTCCCTTGGCAAGTTAACGGTGTACAACTGTGGGGCAGACGTATCCTTTCAAGAGACCGTTTCCCTACCAGCCTTACATCACTTGTAATCTCGGGCGCACCCAAGATTTAATGCTCACTTGTTGAATGGGGATTCCATAGACTTGCCTATCTTCAAAATCCCTCCATTGGATGCTTAAATGTGGTGTCGTTTCCCGAAGAAAGGACTGGAATGATGCTGCCTCCATCTCTTATCTCTATCCACATTAGTAATTTCAATAATCTGGAGTTCATGTGCTCCAGGGGCTTTCAGAACCTCACCTCTCTTGAACAATTGAAAAATCAGCGAATGTCCAAAGCTCACATCTCTTCCGGAAAAGGACATGCTTCTCTCGGATTGTCCGTTGTTAAAACAAGAGTGCACCAGCCTTAAAGGGAAAGAATGGTCCAAGATTTCCCACATACCAAAGGTTGTACTCGATTGTAAAAATTTCATCCGAGAGAAGTAGATTGAAAGTCTCCATTGTTAAAAGGTCTTTCCATTGGTGGTTGGAAGAGGTGCACAAGATTGGTAGTTTCAGCCCCTGCAGAGACTTGAAATCAAAGAGTGCGAGAGATTGATAGTTTTAAGACACAGGTGAGAAACCATTTTAGAAATCAAGTAATTTCATAGCCTTTTCTGATGGACATATATGATTATTCTCCGGAACAAGATGATAATAACTTATGCTACTTTTGCAGGTGTTTAAGAAAGTGTTGTTTTCAAAAGATGGTTTCAATAAAAGCAATGAAGATGTTCAATTGATCTGCTTTACTCAGATAATGGTAACTGTGATCATCTTTACAGGTTATCTGAAGTTTCAGTGTGAGCTTTCCAAGTTCAGATTCTAACATAATGATATTGCAGGTTATTCATTGATGATTGACAGATGCTAGGATATGCACTTTTGTTTTCAACATTTTAGAATCGAAAAGAATCTTGGCTTGCATATTATGACCCTTCAAGACCTTGCAGATACATAGAATTCACATACTCATATCGATCACATATTCAAATCTGACACTCATATCGGATTCCGAACATGAATGATACAAGTATAGCTCCATTATTTATCCCCTTTTTCTGGACAAATTACTCTTGCAGATGTTTCTGGCATGAACAGTGCAACATTCACAGAAAGAGTAGCCAAAAGGCCTTAAACATTGGAACCACAAGCAAAGCTTCAAAGCACAACTCTTTATAAACACATTGTTCCAGAAAATGAACATATGAATATCTCACTGTAAATTTCTGGGATTTTGTTATATACTATGTACATTCCAGGAATCATTCAATAATGGTGAAATTTCTCCACGTCTAGTCTTTAAACATGATTTACTTTCATTCAACAATGATTGTGCGAATTTTTGAAGGTACTAGAGCCTTTATATTGAGTTTCCGATGTCCGAAGTCTGATTCTTTCTGTTCATCCGTCGTCTTTTTTTTCGATCTTCGGATTAGTTTACCCGATATAAAGGCTCTAGAGAAGGGTTTTATTTTCTTTATCTCAGGTATGAATGAATTCAAGGAATGATGAACTCTCCACTCAAAAACATTTTGAAAATGACTGGGCTTCTTTATAATAAATTTCAAAAATATCTAAATTTGGATTAATTGATTATCGATAATTATATTTAAAAATGAAGAAAAATAAATTTCCAAAAAAAACATTACATGACACAAAATAAATTATTTATTTCACGAAATCTGAAGGCAGATAAAAAGTGGGAGGGTGCAATAATTCGAAGGACTGCGACCTCTTGCCCACTTTCCTCGACTTTTCCTACCAGTTGGACTCCATCTCCATTATTACATTGCTTAACGTTCTTCAACTTCATCCATTCCTCTGTTTCTTCTTCCTTTTACTCTGAATTTCCCTTTTGCTTCTTTCTTCTAATCCCACCATGTCTTTCATCGGAGAGGCTGCTCTTTCTAAGCTTTTGGATCTGTTGCTCGGCAAGTCCATCGATTCTGCTCTCAACTTTGTTGCTGATCACAAGCAAGTGTATGACCAGCTCAAGGAGTGGAAATCCATATTGTCCGATATCAAAGCAGTGCTGAACCATGCTGAGGAGAGGCAGATCACGGACGATGGTGTGAAGAGCTGGTTGGAAGATCTCCAAGATTTGACTTACGATGCTGATGACATCCTGGACGACTTTGCCTATGAACAGTTACGTCTCAAGCTCCACAAAACTCAGGCTCAAACCAGCACTAGTAGGGTACGGAAACTCTTTCCCACCTGCTGTACCGGTATTGATTTCACTCTGTCTTCATTTCAATTTAAAAATTACATGATTCCCAAGATGAAGACATCACTGCTAGACTCAACAGTCTGTCTACACGAAGAAGTAGTTTGGGGTTGAGTGAGATATTGCCTCAAGCTGCAAGCTCCGATCGAAAGAAACCGGTCAGGCTTCAACCTACTTCCCTGGTGGATGGAGCTGTGGAGTATGTTGGTAGAGACAATGAGAAGCGAGAAATGCTTGATTTCAAAACTAATAACTCCCATGGAGTTTCAATCCTTTCCATTGTTGGCATGGGAGGGATGGGGAAAACACTCTTGCTCAGCTTGTCTACAATGATGCCAGCATCGAGGAGTCTTTTGATCACAAGGCTGGGTATGTGTTTCCGATGACTTTGATGCTGTTAAAATAACCAAAACTATTTTACAATCCATAGATCCTTTCTCACCTGATGTGAATGACTTGAATTTACTTCAAGTCAAGTTGAAGGAGAAGTTATCTGGAAAAAATGTCTTAATTGTTTTGGATGACCTTTGGAACGAGAGTTACGTAGATTGGACCATCTTACGGTCTCCCTTCGGAGCAACAACCAAGATCATTGTAACTACTCGCCTTCGAATGTTTCATCAACTGTGGATCCAATGAAAGCTTTTCACTTGGATAAACTATCAGATGAGGACTGTTTGTCCATATTTTGTCAGCATGCATTAAGAGCAAGAAATTTCGATGGACATTTTCAATTTAAACAAGTTGGAGATAACATAGTGAGAAGGTGTAACGGCTTACCTTTAGCAGCCAAAGCCATGGGAGGCTTGTTATGCACAACTAATCTTAGTGAATGGAAAAGATCGGAGAGCGAGATATGGGACTTACCAGAAGATAAATGTGGCATAATTCCAGCATTGCGATTAAGCTACCATCATCTTCCTTCTCATTTGAAATGTTGCTTTGCATACTGTTCCATATTTCCTAAAGATTACGAATTCGAAGAAGAGATAATTTTGTTATGGAGTGCAGAAGGTTTCTTGCAACAAAAAACTAAACTTCCATTCAAAGATCTGGGAAATCAATATTTTCAAGATCTAGTGTCAAGGTCATTTTTTCAGATATCTAGCAAAGATGAATCACAATATGTAATGCATGACCTTATCAATGATTTAGCTCAATTAGTTGCAGGAGATATATGTTGCAGACTGGAGGAAAATGAGCAACAAATGTTTTCACATCGTTGTCGCCATTCTTCTTATATTATCAGCAGGTATGACACGGTGAAGAAGTTTAAATCATTTAATCAAGCAAATTCTTTGCGTACCTTTCTTCCGTTAAAGCAAGATTGTTGGCATCCTTATTACTTGACGAATGTTGTCTTGGTTGAATTATTGCCGAGACTTGGCTATTTGAGGGTGCTTTCTTTGTGTAGATATTGGATCACCGAGTTGCCTGATTGTTTGGAAAATTTGAAACATCTACGCCACTTCAATCTTTCCCATACTCAAATCAGATGTTTACCTGATTCCTTATGCACTCTTTATCATTTGGAAACTTTTTTGTTGAAACGGTGTTCCAAACTTCAAAATTTACCCTCGAAGATGGAAAATCTTGTTAATTTACATTATCTCGATATTAGAGGTGCGGACTTGATAGAAAGGATGCCTTTTGGAATTGGAAATCTAACCAATCTTCAAAGGTTATCTGATTTTGTTATTGGTGAAGGTGATGGACATCGCATTGGAGAATTGAAGAATTTATCAAACCTCAAAGGTGATCTTTGTCTTTCAGGGTTAGAGAATGTTAATGGTCGAGATGCATGGGAAGCCAGGTTGAATAAGAAATCGGGTATCAATAATTTGGTACTAGAATGGAGTGGAGACTTTGAGCCTACAAGGAAGAATCAAGTTGAAGAACGTGTGTTGGACTCTCTTCATCCTCCCAAAAAGCTTGAGCAACTCGTCATCAAGAATTTCGGTGGTGCAAAGTTCTCTACTTGGATAACAGATTCTTCTTTCAGTAATTTGTCATCTTTGGAGCTACGCAGTTGTAAAAACTGCAAATCACTACCACCGATTGGAAGGTTGTCATCGTTGAAAGGTCTTTCAATTGGTGGGTTGGTTGAGGTGCGAAAGATTGGTAATGAGTTGTTTGGGAAAATCAGTCAGTTGCATTTGCATCTTTAGAGAGTTTGTCTTTCGAGAATTTGGTACTAATGGAGTGGAGACTTTGAGAAGCCTACAAGGAAGAATCAAGTTGAAGAACGTGTGTTGGACTCTCTTCATCCTCCCAAAAAGCTTGAGCAACTCGTCATCAAGAATTTCGGTGGTGCAAAGTTCTCTACTTGGATAACAGATTCTTCTTTCAGTAATTTGTCATCTTTGGAGCTACGCAGTTGTAAAAACTGCAAATCACTACCACCGATTGGAAGGTTGTCATCGTTGAAAGGTCTTTCAATTGGTGGGTTGGTTGAGGTGCGAAAGATTGGTAATGAGTTGTTTGGGGAAAATCAGTCAGTTGCATTTGCATCTTTAGAGAGTTTGTCTTTCGAGAGTCTACCAAACTGGGAGGAGTGGGATGCTTGTGAAGGTGATGAACAAGTTTCAAAGTTACCCATGCTTCGTAAGCTTTCGATAAGACATTGTCCTCGATTGTTGGGAAGGTTGCCAACCCGTCTTCAGTCCTTGCAGAAACTTGAAATCTACGAGTGCATGAGGTTAGTAGTTTCAATTTCAAGTTATCCATCACTGCGTGAATTAAGCGTGGAAGGGTGTGAAGAATTGGTGGATGAATGCCCATCTTCTTCACCAGGGGAGGAGGTCACCTCTTTGCAAAGTGTGAATCTTTCAAGCATTTCAAAGTTTAGTATTGCAGCTGAGAGGAGAATGTTGAGGAGAATGGAACTAGTAAACTGTGAAGGCTTGGTTTCTTTTACAGAGAGTAACTTCCCCCCTGCTCTAAAAGAACTTACGGTTCGGGGTTGTGAGAATTTGCAATACTTGTTTGATGAGAGTATGAGTAGTAACACTTGTCTTCTTGAGGTCTTGTACGTTGATGGCTGCCAGTCTCTAAAATGGTTGTCTTCAAGGGGTGATATATGCAATCGGCTTCAATGTCTCCGAGTTTACGACTGCCCAGAGTTGAGAAGCTTATTTTTAAATTCCAAGTTACCCGTAATGCTTAAGAAGCTGTCTATTTCGGACTGTCCGGTGCTGGAATGCATAGCCGAAGACTTCCATGAAACCACTGATCTCGAAAGGATTCATATGTATGCTGTTGGAAATATTAAATCTTTACCGCGAGGAATAGACAAGCTCAGTCATCTCCAGGAGATTTCTCTGATTGATTGTTCAAATCTGGTGGCTTGTTTCGACGAAATTGGGTTGCCTACCACAAATCTCATAGATTTCACAGTTTGTCAAATGTGAAAACATTGTAGCCCTTCCAAAGTGCATCAGCAACTGCACCTCCCTTAAGAAGTTAGTGGTGTCCCACTGTGGGGCTGATAGATCCTTTTCAGAAGAGGGTTTCCCTATCAACCTGACATCACTCCGAATCTTTAATGCACCCGAAATTTATAGCTCACTTGTTGAATGGGGATTCCATAGACTTAGTTCTCTTCAGCAACTCTTAATAACAGGTGAAGAATGCTCAAATGTGGTGTCCTTTCCAGAAGAAAGTATAGGGATGAGGCTGCCTCCTTCGCTCACCTCTATCCGGATTTCGAATTTCGATAATCTGGAATTCATGTGCACCAAGGGCTTTCAGCACCTCACCTCTCTCGAAGAATTGCACATCACAGATTGTCCAAAGCTCACATCTCTTCCGGATAAACACATGCTTCTCTCGCTTGGGGAGTTGGTTATTGAGAGTTGTCCATTGTTAACAGAAGAGTGCAGGAGAGTTAAAGGACCAGAATGGTCCAAGATTTCCCACATACCTTACGTTCGAATTGATGATGAATATTTCATTCCGAAAGAAGTAGATTGATAGTAAAGCTGCAAAATTTGGTTTTGATTTCTCCACACTTAAATCACAGGTGTGAAACCATTTAACATTGGTTGAGGTGCGCAAGATTGGTTATGAGTTGTTTGGGGAAAATCAGTCAGTTGCATTTGCATCTTTAGAGAGTTTGTCTTTCGAGAGTCTACCAAACTGGGAGGAGTGGGATGCTTGTGAAGGTGATGAACAAGTTTCAAAGTTACCCATGCTTCGTAAGCTTTCGATAAGACATTGTCCTCGATTGTTGGGAAGGTTGCCAACCCGTCTTCAGTCCTTGCAGAAACTTGAAATCTACGAGTGCATGAGGTTAGTAGTTTCAATTTCAAGTTATCCATCACTGCATGAATTAACCGTGGAAGGGTGTGAAGAATTGGTGGATGAATGCTCATCTTCTTCACCAGGGGAGGAGGTCACCTCTTTGCAATGCGTGAATCTCTTTCAAGCATTTCAAAGTTTAGTATTGCAGCTGAGAGGACAATGTTGAGGTTTGCAAACTCCAAACATTTTGTAACTCGTGATTTCAGTTTACTACCAAAAGTGTCGCATGCTTTCACATTCCTTACAAAAATGGACCTGGACCTAGTAAGGTGTGAAGGTTTGGTTTCTTTTACAGAGAGTAACTTCCCCCCTGCTCTAAAAGAACTTACGGTTCAAAGTTGTGAGAATTTGCAATACTTGTTTGATGAGAGTATGAGTAGCAACACTTATCTTCTTGAGTTCTTGTCCGTTGGTCGCTGCCAGTCTCTAAAATGGTTATCATCAAGGGGTGATATATATGCAATCGGCTTCAACATCTCCGAGTTTACAACTGCCCAGAGTTGAGAAGCTTATTTTTAAATTCCAAGTTACCCGTAATGCTTAAGAAGCTGTCTATTTCGGACTGTCCGGTGCTGGAATGCATAGCCGAAGACTTCCATGAAACCACTGATCTCGAAAGGATTCATATGTATGCTGTTGGAAATATTAAATCTTTACCGCGAGGAATAGACAAGCTCAGTCATCTCCAGGAGATTTCTCTGTATAATTGTTCAAATCTGGTGGCTTGTTTCGACGAAATTGGGTTGCCTACCACAAATCTCATAGATTTCACAGTTGTCATATGTGAAAACATTGTAGCCCTTCCAAAGTGCATCAGCAACTGCACCTCCCTTAAGAAGTTAGTGGTGTCCCACTGTGGGGCTGATAGATCCTTTTCAGAAGAGGGTTTCCCTATCAACCTGACATCACTCCGAATCTTTAATGCACCCGAAATTTATAGCTCACTTGTTGAATGGGGATTCCATAGACTTAGTTCTCTTCAGCAACTCTTAATAACAGGTGAAGAATGCTCAAATGTGGTGTCCTTTCCAGAAGAAAGTATAGGGATGAGGCTGCCTCCTTCGCTCACCTCTATCCGGATTTCGAATTTCGATAATCTGGAATTCATGTGCACCAAGGGCTTTCAGCACCTCACCTCTCTCGAAGAATTGCACATCACAGATTGTCCAAAGCTCACATCTCTTCCGGATAAACACATGCTTCTCTCGCTTGGGGAGTTGGTTATTGAGAGTTGTCCATTGTTAACAGAAGAGTGCAGGAGAGTTAAAGGACCAGAATGGTCCAAGATTTCCCACATACCTTACGTTCGAATTGATGATGAATATTTCATTCCGAAAGAAGTAGATTGATAGTAAAGCTGTAAAATTTGGTTTTGATTTCTCCACACTTAAATCACAGGTGTGAAACCCTTTTAAACATTGCTCAATTTCATAGCTGTCTACCATGAAGAACGACACAGCCTAACATATTACGTACTGATCTCTCTTAACCTTTTTTTTTCTGGACGAATTACTCCTGCAGATGGGTTGTAGCATGAACAGCCAAAGCTCGGTCTTTTAAAGCACAAACTCTGCATCAACCATTGTTGCAGAAAATGAAGAATCTCAGCTCTCAGCCATGACCCATTGTTCCAATGAGATTAAACAGGGAGATGATCCAACTCTACTAATCTCCAGACAGAAACCCAATCCCAAGAGCAGCTGGAGAAATCAGAATTGAAGAATATAACAACAATTGATGACCCAGCATATGAATATCTCACTGTAAATTCCTGGGGTTTTTGTTATTCTCAGTCTCCCATACCCTATTATGTGTTCTGCGTATTTTGGAAGGTTACTGGATTATCAACCTCCAAGTTCCACCATTTAGATTAAAAATAGAGTACAAAAGCAAAATATTTGTATATTTACAATAGAGACAGAAAATACCCGCTTTTAATCCTCGTATAAAACAAGTAAATCTCATTTATTATCGCTTTTAAGTTAAAGCTTTCACAGAGATAAAATCTGTAGATGTTACAACGTGAGAAGGAGACGATGTTTCGGTGACCATGAACAGATGTGGAAAGGGTTGCAGTTAGATTTATGTTCGAAGGATATGAAGGAAAAAAGAGAGAAAAGTTTAAGAAATTTGAGGAGTTATTTAGAGAAAAAATGAGTTGAAAATTCTTTTTCGACCAATGAGACATGTCATATACAATTGGGTATTTGCTTTTATAAAAAATAATTTAATGATTTATGAAAAAAAAATAGTTTAAATGCTTAAAACTTTATTTTTGATAAAAATTATTTAGGTCTTTTTCATGTTCACCCCACATCCGGTCAGCGGTGGCTCACACTATCACCACCATCGTCATCGGTGTCGCCTCTTGACCACACTCCGACCCTTGATTCATACTCACCCTCCATCGTTCGTCCCAAATCACGAGAATATTATTCGAACACTCATCCCCGATCCCTGATCTCCATCTTCAATCGTTGATGACCGTCACTACTGATACCAGTAAGAGTGTCACCCCATTCCGACTAAAACCCACTAACCAATTGTTGAGACTCACCTCCGTTCACCCTAAAGAGGACTTCGAATCTCATTCGAAAAATCCCAACCCTTTCTTTTTTTCATCAATTTCCGACCGATCCACTCACTTTCCTATAATAAATTTTAGAAATATCTAAATATAGATTAATCGACTAATACATTAATTATCGATAATTATATCCAAAAGTTTCGAGTTCAAACACATATTTATAAGGGTGTTCATACTTTCATTAATAAGTTGTTAAGTCTTTTAAACATATACTACATTATAATACTAATAAAAAAAATATTATCATCAATTTAGACACATTAATAATTTTATAAAAATTAAATATAGTTGGTCTAATGGGATTAGACATTAGGTCATTTAAACAAGGTTGATGTTCGAATTTTAATGTTTGTGAATGAAGTAAATTGGATTGAAAAGACGACTCTTACTTATGTAGTATTCGATTTGGATTGGATTAATAAATTTGATATCGATAATTATAAAAGTAAAAAAATTAAATCTACGATTTTAACATAATAAATGGACTAAAGACAAAATCGTGGACTTCAGAAAGGTACGTGAATGACTAGCAGCCAATGTTTTTTTTAATGAAATAAGAGCGTAAACTAAAGCTTAAACAGCAGCTTCCATATCACGAACAGAGTAGTCTTGCTGCAAGAGATAAGCAATTTCCAAAGGTGGCGTGGAGAAGATTATGTCATCAACACATCCTGTTACTGTCATCTCCGCTAGCTTAGCAGCAACTTGGTTAGCAACCCTGTTAATGTGTCTCAAGTTCACATTCCATTCCCGGTTTAGCAGCTCTGTAATTCGGTCTAGAAGGGTAAAGGACGATCCTCTATGAGAAGTTTGCTGCAACATACGAAAAACCTCCAAACTATCCACTTCCAACATCACTTGTCTCTCACCAAGGTTCCAAGCATGAGTAAGACCTTCATGAGCACCCCAGAGCTCTGCCTCAACAATAGAGCATATCCCAATAGCTTTAGAGAAACCAAGAATCCAACCACCATTCGAAGATCGAATAAGCCCCCACAAGCAGCAAAGCCATCGATTCTACTTCGAGAACCATCAGTAATAAACTTACACCAATTAAGAGGAGGCGGAGACCATGAAGCAGGCACATTGTTCACCTGATCAGAAGACTGAACTGTTGACAAAGCTGGTTAATTTACTACTCAATGAGAAGCAATTAATTGACGTAAACTACTTCACTATAATGGAAGAAGGGTTGAGGAGAAACTATCACCAAACTTCCCACTAGAATTAATTTTGTTTATTTGAAAATATTAATTCAACTCAATTTTTTTCACACCCTTATTCTAAAATTATATTAATTTTCTAAATCAACCAATAATCGTTAAATGGTTCACTTATTTTTGGTTTAATTCTGAATATCAACCTTTACTCTTCCTATCAATAATTTGAACTACCGCTTGGACTCCATCTCCATTATTCGATGACATTGTCTCCGAATTGCTTAACGTTATTCAACTTTCATCTCCATTCCTCTGTTTTCTTCCTTTTACTCCGAATTTCCCTTTTCCTTCTTTCTTCTAATCCAAATACCACAAAACGACAGGGACAAAATACTAGAAAAGGAAAGTACACGTCTCAACCAATTTGCAGAATATCTTTAATTTTGGTCGTTATTTTCACTGATTTTATAATTTGAGCCCATTTTTTACATGGTAAAGTATGCAAATATCCCCAAATTTTTAGGGTACTTACATTTTGATCACCTAATTTTAAAATTTATAATACAATCATCGAACTTTTAGTTCGTTTCAGTAGGCACTGTCGTTATTCCTGTTAGTTTTATTGACATGACAACTCCCGTTAAACCCTTCCCTCGTCCTTCTTCTTCTTCTTCTTCTCCTCTCGTCACCCCACATCCGATCACCCCACCTCCGATCAGCGGTGGTTCACACTATCACAACTATCGTCATCGGTGTCGTCTCTTGACCACACCCCGACTCTCGATTCATACTCACCGTCCATCGTTCGTCCCAAATCACAAGAATATTATTCGAACACCCATCCCCAATCTCCGTCTTCAGTTCGTCGATGATCGTCACTATCGGTACCAGTAAGAGTGTCGCCCCCATTCCAACTAAAACCCATTAGCCACTTATTGAGACTCACCTCCGTTCACCCTAGAGGGGGCCTCGAATCTCATTTGGAAAACCCAACCCTTCCTTTTTTTACCAATTTCCGATCGATTGGGTCGTCCAATCACCACACTGCCACCAACATTGGAGTCCTCACATCGTTTCGACCAAATCACAATCTGTCGTGCCTCCTCGTCGTTGTCCCTTATTTGTCTGTCGTTGGTTAAAAACAAAAAAGAGGTGTTGAGGTCTTCTCGCGATTTGGAACGAACGGTGGACGATGAGTGTGAATTGAGGGACAGGATGTGGTCGGGGTGTGACGATGGTGATGGCTGTGTGAGCCACCATTGACCGGAGGTGGGGTAAATGGGAATGAGGGAAGAAGAAGAAGGGGGTTTAATGGGAGTTACCATAATATATGAGAGCGAGATATGGGACTTACCAGAAAATCAATGCGGCATAATTCCTGCATTGCGATTAAGTTATCATCATCTTCCCTCTCATTTGAAACGCTGCTTTGCATACTGCTCCATATTTCCAAAGGATTATGAATGCGAAGAAGAAGAGATAATCTTGTTATGGAGTGCATAAGGTTTCT